TGCAGTGCTGGAACTCAAACCCAGGGCCTTGCGCATGTTAGGCAAGTGTTCTATCATTGAACTACATTTCCAACCCCAGGCTGCTTTTTTATAACAMCATCCTGTCCAAGAAACTAATCTGCTCCTCAAGACCAGCATTAATCTCTTCTCAGGGTAGGGCTCCATGACCTAATTATCTTCCACCAGGCCCCACCTCTGATATTTTCCACCATCTCAAAACCCCCACTGGGACTAAGTTCCCTGAATGTGAACCTTTAGTGGACATGCTCAAATCATATCCAAAACATAGTAGATTATTTTAGGTTTCTCTCTCTCTCTCTCTCTCTCATTTTTAAATCAATGAAAATGTTCATTTTATTATTAAATTAAAAAATGTTTCATAATATTTTCAGTATAATCTTGAACATAAAATAGGGAAGAAAGATTTAAAGGGAATATGAATTCCATTCTTCCAATTCAAGTGTTTAAGTCATTATTTTCACTAAATCAATTAAGTTCAAGTCTGAACCACCTCTTCCCAGACTTGAACTTTATTTTGAGTCATTTGGAGAGCCTTCAGTTTTCAGAATTAGACCAAGGACAGCAGAATCCTGAAGAAGGTCAGTATGTGACTAGCAGCATCTTTTAGGTCTCTTTAAAGAGAGATTTTATGTTGAGCTAGGGTGGTCAAAGCCCTGGTTTTGACACCCAGCACTGAAAAGAGAGGGAGAGATAGATATTGTGTTTAATATGACTGGGAAGTTCAAGAACAAGGTGCCAGTCAATTCTGTTTCTGCTAAGATCTCTCTTTATGGCTTTCAAACAGCCATCTTCTTACTATGTCCTTACATGGTGTAATAAAAAGAAATTTTTCTGATGTTTCTTTTTTTTTAAAATTTTTTTTAGTTGTAGTTGGACACAATACCTTTATTTTATTTATTTATTTTTATGTGGTGCTAAGGATTGAGCCCAGCGCCTCACATGTGCTAGGCGAGTGCTCTATTGCTGAGCCACAACCCCAACCCCTCATGTTTCTTATAATTATAAGGAACCTAGCCTTATGTAGGCTCTGTTCTTATGTCCTAATTATTCTTACGTCCCAAAGTCTGCATCTCCAAGTTTCATTACAATGGGGCTCAGGGCTTTCAACATCAGAATTTTAGGGAGGCAATTCAGTTATAGTACCATCCAAATGGACTAGGCATTTCAGAATTGGAATCCAAATTTATCCCCAGATTTCCTGAGAAAATAGATTCTTTTAAGTTTTACATGGACAAAATATCTTTATTTTACATTTAAATAGTGCTGAGGCTTGAACCCATTGCCTTGTGCATGCTAGGTGAGCACTCTACCACTGAGCCACAACCCCAACCCTGAAAATGATTCTTAAAACTAAATTTATTCTCAGTTTAGAAGCCAACCACAGTTTCATGTGACCTCAGAGGGGAATTTTGTGTGAGRTACTCTTTATGGGTTTGGAAGAATATGTTTCTCAGAAGAAAACAGTAACTATTTATCAAGGCATTTATGTTGTGGGAGAATTTCCTATTGATTTCGGAACTGAAGGATTACTTCTTTAAAAATTAACATCAAGAAGATATTCTAGGATTAGATATGTAGCTTAGTGTTAGGGAGCTTAYCTAGTATATGAGGGTTGGATCCACAGCACTTGGGGAAAGAAGGGGAGAAGGTATTCTATAAAGCTGTATTTATTCTGGAAAAAAGAATTAGAGAAATGATTCTAAGACTGTTAAAAGAACTTGAATGCTGGGGTTGTGGCTCAGTGATAGAGTGCTTGCTTAGCACATGTGAGGCATTGAGTTCGATCCTTAGCAGCACACTAAAATAAGTGAATAAAGGTATTGTGTCCATCTACAACTAAAAAAAATAGATAAAGAACATGATATTAAGCCAGGCACAGTGGCACATACCTGTAATTCCAGCAACTTGGGAGGATGAGGCAGGAGGACTGAAAGTCTGAGGCCAAATTTAGCAACCTAGACCCTGTCTCAAAAAATAAAAAGGTCTGGGGATGTGGCTCAGTGGTAAAGCGCCCCTGGTTCAACCCCCAGTACCAAAACCAAAATAACCACAACTTGATGTGAGAGTTAGATTTTAGTGTTATATTTAAGTGGGTTAAGTCCTTTCCTTTTAGCAGTCATTTTGTATAGGAATGGCTAAATGAGATATGTTGGACTGTTTTATTGTGATGAATAACAATTTTTGACAAAAATGGWTAAATAGTTCAGGATTTATATAGTTGGAAATTAAGAATGGCATAGCATTTTATAAAAGATACATTTAACCTTTAGCAAATGTCTCTATTTAGGGACCAAGGAGGATTATAGCCAATAGGGAAAAGAATCAGACTTCCCTTAAATGCCTTTCTAATGCAAAGAAAATTTAAAGTCTAGAAAATTAAAGTCTAGCAGTACCTTTTTCTCTCAAGGAAAGAAGTCAACTGTGCTTCTTTCTGCTAAAAGTGACAAAAACAGCCCAAACTGGAATAAGAAAATAGAATTTATTCATGTTATTATAAAGTCCTCAGRTATGCCTGATCCAAAGGACAGTTGAATATATGGTTTAAGTATGTGGTAAGAACTTGGTTTCTCTTATCTTTCTGCTATTTCACTGTAGAGGTCTGATAAATATTTTATATTTAAATGATATGAAATATCATTATTAAATATATTAATAGCAGGTGGAAACAGTTATTGAAAGATAACAATAGAGCATCACACATCAATGGCAAATATTCTCAGCCCCCTGTTCTGCACTGGGGTTTGAACCATGATGTGCTCTTTGACTGAGAAATAAAAATGTCTGAAGACATTTATTTTGAGTCAGGGTCTTGCTAAGTTACTGAGGCTAAACTTGAACTTGTGATTCTCTTGCCTCAGCCTCCCAAGTAGCTAGAATTTAGGCATGTGCTACTGTGCCTGGAAGAAATAGCTTTGTAATTTAATTATTTTAAAAATTTTTTGATGGTGCTTCTGGGGATTGAACCTTTGGCCTTGTGCAAACTAGACAAGCACTCTACCCCTGARCTCTACCTTCAGCCTCAATGGGAAAATAGAATTTTTGTTTGGAGCAAATAGTTTTGGGAATATTCGCAATTTGAAGGGGGGGGGAACCCAGTTTGAGAGACAGCTCAGAATTGAATAAGAAGAAGTCCACAAAATACTAGAGGAAAATGTGCTAATATAAATTTGTTTTCCAAATTTCAATTCCCTGTCATATTATTTGTACTACTATTGAATATTTTTAACTGGACTCATCACCCACCTCTACCTGCTGCTTTTACTTTGCTATGCCTCAAGCATTTGTATCTAGGCTATTTTGATTTTTTGAATGTTAGGGTTTTTTTCTCTGTACACTTAAAATACAAATAACTATTAAAATTTTTAAATTGTCTAATTATTTAGAAAACAAGGATTTAATATATAAAGGTTAAAGAAAGAACTTTCTAAGAGTAAGAATAATAGTAAATCATAGTCTATAGATTTGACAGCGTATGAATTTAAAGTTTCTTTCCATCAAATAACCAAAACTGAACTACAAAATGTTTACTGTGAATTGAAAAGTTTATAGCTTGAAAAATTTATAACATTGCCTGTTATACAGGGAAGACTAAATTGTGTATGTATGTTTGTGTTGTGGGCCTAACATTCAACCTTAGATTGCCCTTTAGCACCAAACCTCTGATGTCCTGTTTGAAAAAATCAGTCTTATGATATTGATACCATGACGAAGAGATATTACTGACAGTTCCAAAATATGCCTTTTGTACTTCAAGAATGTATAGGGTCAGTCAGCTAGTTAACAAGTATTGAGTACCCACTTTTTGTCACTTTAGTGAATTGCTCATCTTCTAAGAAGATCAGGATGGTCATAACGTGGCAGTGGATTGTTCTATAGAACAGATGCCCTTTGGATTTGGTGTTGAATAGTGTTTTTTCTGACAGCAGATGCTCTGCCTTAATCCTTCTTCTTCCAAAGGATCCAAGGGGCAGTAGTTCTCAGAAGGTGCTGTGATCACTGAAGGTACTAAACTAACCAGTGTYGGGAAATGTATAATGATTATTTAAGGGAAATGAAGGGAAGACTTTTTAAACTTAAGGTAATTCTTTTGTTTCTTTTTGTTTTTCTCTTAATATGTAATTAATGATGTATATTACTTCTTATAATCAATCAAATTCTTTCTTAAACGTTGATCCCAGTAGAAAGATAGGTTTCCTTCTTTATAGGGTAAATTGCCAAAGCTGTCCTTAAACTTGGGATCCTCCTGCTGTAGCCTCCCAAATTACTGGGATTATAGGTGTGAGCCATTGTGCCTGGCTTAGATTTTTTTCTTTTCTTTCTTTTTTCCTCTCTCTCTTCCTGTTGTATTCTTTTTTTTCTTCTTTCTTTTTTTCTTATCTTTTTGTCTTTCCTTCCTTTCATCCTTTCTTTTCTTTTTCTTTATTTGGACAAATCCAGGGCTCTGTCACTAAGCTACCTTTTTATTTTATATTTYTTAATTTTTTTAGTTGTAAGTGGACAAAATATCTTTATTTCATCATTATGTGGTGCTGAGGTTTGAACCCAGTGCCTCACGTGTGCTAGGCGAGCACCCTACCACTGAGCCACAACCCCAGTCCCATATTTTTAATATTAAAAAATAATTTTTTTGTAGTTGTAAATCGACAGAATACCTTTATTTGTTTATTTATTTATTTTTATGTGGTGCTGAGGATTGAACCCAGTGCCTCATACATGCTAGGCAAGTGCTCTGCCACTGAGCTACAGCCCCAACCCATGTTTTTTAAATTTTGAAACAGGTCTAAGTTTGCCAGGCTGGCCTTGAATTCCTGGGCTCAAGTGATCTTCCTCCCTCAGCCTCCTGAGTAGCTGGGACTGCATGTATGTGCCRCCACAACTAGCTTTGAAGTATTTCCTACAGCTCTTTTACCTCAGTTAACTAGAATTTTAGAAGTATTCTTTAATGTTTATGCCTAACAAAATTAATTATTTTCTTCCAGGTAATTTATCCTCAACATTCCAAACTTACTGATAAAGAAGTAAGTAGAACTATTGCTCCGTATAATCTATTGTTATATTTCTGTTTGTTTTTATTGATGTGTGTATATCAGCATATATAGCTTTTGTTTTCTTTTTCAGAAAACCAATATTTGCTATTTGTCTTTTCCAGATTCAAATTCAGGTAACTATTTTTCATGTGGTGTTCTGTTGAATTATATACTAAGAATACTGGTTACAATTTTAATCTGTGAAAGTTAATTGAAATGGCATATTAGAATGAAGTCTCAATTTTAGCCCAACAAATCAGTGATTTTGATTCCTGGTTTAATGATGTCTAATCATGTCATAGTTGATTTCAGTTGGTTCATTTCTTAAAGGCACTTTTACAGTGTGCTGAGGTAATAATACATCAGGGGACAATAAACTGTTGAAATAGTGAGACTGAAAATTAACAACATTGGTATGTTTGGGGACTTAGAGTATGTAGTTTACTTTGAGTTCAGAATTTATGAGCTTGCCTAACTGTAAAAACAGTGAGTTAAAGAAGAAACAACAACAGAGTGAATCCAGTTATGAAACATGACTATCATTTATTTTTATATGGATTAATATGACAAGTACTTGCAGTAGTGCTTGGTGTGTAAAAATCGTGTGTTTGCTTATTGTTAAACTTCACTTTGCTAGTCTCTTTCAAAGTATCATTTGTGTGGTCCTAATTGTTGACATCTTTCAGGTTGCCTGCTATATTTTACTTTCAAAACAACTTTTTAGGCTTACAGTGACCAGAACATTCAGATTCTTGGGCCACACACAATTAGAACACAAGCAAAATCACTCCACTTCCCTTTCCTTTTGTGGTTACTTCTAATATCCTGTTAATTTAGTTCAGTTGATCTGATTTGGGAGATTTAACATTTAAAAATTTTAAGCATTTTTCTCTTTTCTGTATAAATGTTTCTAGAGTTTTTTTTTTTTTCCCAATACATTTGGAATTTGCAGCCTTGGTAAAATATGTGGAAGAAAAATGATAGATATCTCAGTAAATTAGATATTTGCCTTTGGGAGATTATAATAGGTCTTTTGTTCTGACCTGTAATTATTAGAAATTTAGTAATTTTTGCCCTTTTTTTGGGGGGGAGGGTACTGGGGCACTCAACCACTGAGCCACATCCCCAGCCCTATTTTGTATTTTAYTTAGAGACAAGATCTCCCTAAGTTGCTTAGGGCCTTGCTAAGTTGCTGAGGCTGGCTTTGAACTCCTTATCCTCTTGACTCAGCCTCCTGAGCTTCTGGGATTAGGTGTGTGCCACAGCACCCAATTAATTTTTGCCTATTAATGAAATAATTACATAGAGGTCTTCTAGGATCTGTCCTTGTTTAAGTCAATATTATTATTATAAAATCTACACATTCAGTTCTGAATTGTAGTTAATGTTGGAGTGGATTTCTAGGACTCCAACTGAGTTGTGTGGTTTATAGGATGAATTAAATTTTTGAGATTGAAATCCAGTGGATTGTATTATGCTCTTCTCTTTCAGACCACAGCTGGTTGTCATAGCTCTCTCTCTTTTTCATATCTATACATGAGCATAAGGGGATCAGAGACCCCCTTCTCTTCATGCTGCTTGGTCTCAGGATTATTTTGAGCTGAAGGCAATTGGGAAACAGCAGTTGCAAAGATCCYTCTCCCTTCTCATTGTGTTCCGAAAAGCAGGACATAAATTTATGAAGGTGTTTACTTGCTCCTTTGTCATACTGAGAAGGGTAGAAAGATTCTGAAACATTGTAGAAGACTCTTATCTTAGGTGGGCATGGTTTCACAAGCTGTGATCCTAGATAGTTGGGAGGCTGAGGCAGGAGGATCATGAGTAGGAGGCCAGCCTGGGCAATTTAGCAAGACCTTGTCTCAAACTGAAAAACAGGGCTGGAGATGTTACTCAGTGGTAGAATGCTTGTTTAGCATGTGCCAGGCTCTGGGTGCAATCCCCAGTAATGCAAAAAATAAAAAAGGAAATAAAAAATAAAGACAAAAGAAAAAGACTCTTCCTTGGAATGGTATTAGCTTCAGTTTGTATAAATAGGTCTTACTAAAATAACCTTATCCCCCATTAGTTTTTTTTTCTACATGTATTTTTTGTTCCACATTTTACTGGTTTCAAGAAGCCAAACCCCAAGACTRATCATTTCTCTGCAGTTTATCCCCTTTGCTAAAATGTTACATAAGCTCCCAGATCTAACTAACTTTTGAGGTCATTACTTTTTTCTGTGAAGTGTTCATGTGCATGTGAAATAAATATTTTCTCTTGTTAATCTGTTTTGGTCGATTTAATACACGGGTCCTAGCTATTAAACCTAAGAGAGTGGAGAAGAAACTTCACTCCACCCCAGCAAGCATATGAGTTAATTTTTTTTTGGTAAATATTTTTTTAGTTGTTGATAGACACAGTATCTTTATTTTATTTACTTAATTTTATGTGGTGCTGAGAATTGTACTCAGTGTGAAGCAAGTGCTCTACCACTGAGTACAGCCCCAGTCCTAGAAGTTAATTTCTCAAGAAGATACCTTGGTGTTTGAGTATCTGTTTTAATATCTAGTTTTATAGTTAGCCTCTGCATGTATCATTTTCTTTTTGGAAGTTAAACTCAATTGTATATCTATGTAAATAAAAAACATTTTTTTCCAATATTTTAGGCATATAAATGACCCACATTTTTTTTTTTCTGGTATTGGGAATTGAACCCACGTTCACTTTACCACTGAGCTACATTCCAAGCCCTATTTATTTGTTTATTTTTATTTTGAGATAGGATCTTGGTAATTTGCTGAGGCTCTCAATAAATTGCTAAGGCTAGGTTGGCCTTAAACTTGTGATTCTTCTGCTTTATCTTTCTGAGTCATTGGGATTACAGGCATTCACCACCATGTCTGGCCTTAGAGATGCTTTTTAATACCTTAAAAAAAATTTTTTTTTGTAGTTGTAGATGGACAAAATGCCTTGATTTTATTTGTTTATTTATTTATTTATTTTTCTGTGGTGCTGAGGATTGAACCCAGTGCCTCACGCATGTAGGCAAGCACTCTTCCACTGAGCTATACCCCCAGCCCTAATGCCTTTTTTTTAATAACCTGCACATCGTTTTATCCAAAGTATCATTGGTACTTCAAGTGGAATTGATAAAAGATTTTGAAAGTAGTCACCTTGCCATCTGAATTGATGAACATTAACTAGACAGCAAGAGTCTATATATTTTGTACATGTTTAAGATCATTGGTCCCAGTTATGATTTCCAAACAGTTTGCTTCTCTTCTGTGTCTATTAAAAGGAAGCTGAAATTACTGTGCCAACTTTGGAATGGATTTTATAGTGCTATGGAAGGACATGGTGGAGCAGACTTTAGGAAAGTATCATAAATCAAGGTTTTGTGTTTGTGGATATGCAGAAGAAAAAGTAAAGCAGCATTTTAGACAGTATGAAGGCTATATTGATAAAATGATTTTGGAATTCTCAATGGAATGGTTTGCCAGTCTCACCATCCTTCTTTTCTGTCTGTCTCTCACTCACTCACACACGAACACACACACACACACACACACATTTTGTTTATTTATTTATTTATTTTTATGTGGTGCTGAGGATTGAACCCACACACACTTACTTTAGATCCTAATGACTTGAGAAAAAACTTTGGTTTGTTTTTACGGTTCAATTCCTTATTCCATTTGAGTAGCTTTTATCTTAGAGATGTAAGTTTAAATGTGCTTTCCCTCTGATACATACTTGTCAGATTCTTTTCCTCCTTATTGTTTATCATTAACATCATTTGTATTTAGGTGTTCTTGCAGCTTAAGCTATATTGGCTACCCAAGTACAGTACACACTGTATTATATAACATGTCCAGAGAGAAAACTCAGCATTAGTAGAGAGAATTTGAAGCATTGATGAATCTAAGGGAAAAATCAGTTTTTGCTGTGGGTGGACTTGATAATATTTGTCTCATGATTTCTTGTCTATATACAGCAGTGACATTATTACATATGTTATACTTTGTTCATTTATATTAAGGATCATTTGGGGTTTTTTTAAATGTTCAGTCTGTTGTGGACCAACACTTTTGTAAAATGCAATTAAATGGATTATTTAATAATGGATAATTATCTAATAATAAATAATCTAATGACACAAAATGAAAAAAACAAGGAATGCAAAACAAAAATCTCAATTTGTTACAGCAATGTCCAATTGCTATAAACCTTTMAAATGTTTATTCTCACTGTCCTTATTTATTTGGTCTTGGATAAGTAACAAAAGTTTGCAGACTGGCATCATTCTAACAACTACACTTTGAGAATCTCTAATCTAAAGTATTTTTTCTCAGGAATTCCAACTTAGCCATGCTAATCACAGGGGGAGTGACTATGTAAAGTTGAGGGCCCAGGAATGGGGATGACTCTAGAAATTTTTTCTTAGTCATACATATTCTAACCCATTCTATAGCTGTGTTTGTGATAAAATAGAAATAATATTTTTAAGTTATGTATTACCTTTAGGTAAAATATTTGATCATTTTTTTTTCTAAAAAAAAACTTTTTGGGGGGGTATAGGAAGATTCCATCTGTTTACATTTACTTTGCAGTCTCAGTTTGAGTATCATGGAAAGAAAACTTACAGAATACTCTGTGCCTACGATAGTTTTAAAATGGGACATCTCTTTCTGCTGTATTACCTGCTCATGAAGGAGAAGCCAGGATTGAAAGAATTGGTTCCTTGAATGAACAGTATAGCCCAGAGACCATTGATTTCTAGAGCTCTGTGATCTGAGGGSCCTTTTTCAGAGGGGCTTTTGTATTTAAATGAAGAAAAGTTTCATTTTTTTTCTCCAATTGGCAGTGAAATGAATTAAAAAATAATAGCTTTGTTGATATAATTTACATAACATAAATTTACCCATATAAAGTATGCAATCCATTGAGTTTTGATTGGCTGGTTATCAAACTAGGATTTTGTGTATGCTAGGCAAGTACTTTAYCAATAAGCTATAGCTGCAGTCCCACATAATTCAGTAATTTTTAGTATATTCACAGAACTGTGCAACTGTTGCCATAATCAACTTTAAAACAGTTTTATCACCCCATGGGTGGAATATATTGAGCACATTTCACATTTATTACAATGTTACTAATTCTAAATATAGTAACTTGGAAAATTTGAGTGACAAGTTATTTCATGTTTTTTTTTAGAGTATCTATAGTTTTTAAAAAAGTTAATACCTGACAGCTTAAAGTTTGCATTTAAAGAGATTGGCTAATATAATTAACTTCATTTTAAATTCAGTAGTAAATCAATTACTTGAGCTCTGAATCTTCTGTAGTATATCTTTTTAAAAAAGCTGCTTGGGCTGAGGATGAGTTCAGTGGTAGAGTGCTTGCCTAGTTTATGTGAAGCCAMGGGTTCGATCCCCAGTACTGGATGGGGTGGTGTAGGAAAGAGCTTTTATTGTGAAATATAAAACACATCCAAGATTGAGGAACAGAACTTGCCTAACATCTCAGAAACTCCTTCGTGCCACCTTCAATATTATTTCCCCTCACCTTCAAATGTAACCACTAAATTTTTTGCTTTTCTTTATACTTTTATCATCCAATTATGTACTCCTTTTTTATTTTTTTTTTAGTTGTAGATGGACACAATACCTTTATTTTATTTGTTTGTTTCTTTCTTTCTTTATTTCTATGTGGTGCTAAGGATCGAACCCAGTGCCTTACACGTGTGAGGCAAGTCCTCTATTGCTGAGCCACAACCCCAGACCCCAATCATGTACTCCTTATCATTATTGCTTTGAACTTTTTTATATACATGGATTTGAATAATATGTATTATTTTGTGCTTGGCTTCTTTTGCTCAATAGCAACAGTTTTCAAAATTTTTTTTAATTGCATGTGGGAAATGGAATAGAAAAATTAAAGAGACTTYAGAGTTAAGATATGCTTTAGGAGCTGGGGTTGTGGCTCAATGGTAGAGTGCTTGCCTAACATGTGTGGGGCCCTGGGTTAGATCCTCAGCACCACATAAAAATAAATAAATAAAGGATTATGTCTATAACTAAAAACATTTTAAAAAATGGTTCCTTTAAAATTGATGAAACTTGGATAAATAAATATTATGCTATGCTATGCATTTACTTATGGCTTTGCCTCTAACCAGCAAAGATGGTTTGAGTCATCTTTTTTTTTTAATTAGTTGTTGATGGATCTTTATTTTATTACTTATTTATTTGCAGTGCTGAGAATTGAACCCAGTGCCTCACACATGCTAGGCAAGCGCTCTACCACGGAGCCACAGCTCCAGGTCTTGAGTCATCTTTTGAGGCAYGTGAAGTTTTAGGATCTCCTTTTTCTTTTTAAAAACATGACGAACTGTGTTAAAAATTATTCATACAAGGGCTGAGGCTGTGGCTCAGAGGTAGAGTGCTTGCCTAGCACATGTGAGGCACCGGGTTTGATCCTCAGCACCACATAAAAATAAATAAATAAAGGTATTATGTCCATCTACAACTAAAAACATTTTAAAAAATGATTCATATGGTTCCTTTAAAATTGATGAAACTGGATAAATAAATATTATGCTATGCTATCCTTAATTTCTTTCATTTTTGTTTTTATTAGGTTGTCTTGGAGATACCCAGTTTTGTTTTAGATTTCGACAGTCTTCTGGGAGGAAAGTGTCACTGCATTGTCTCCTGGATCAATTTGACAAAGATTTACCAGTTTATTTAAAGGTTGGAAAAGTAGTCATAAAAAAATGTCTATGTGAGAAGAAACTGAAGAGCTTATTACTGTAGAACTCATTCCGTTACCTCTGATAGCTTTCAGAAATTTGCTTTTACTTTTATTTATTATATAGCTGAATTTGAGTCTAATTGATAAGAATTCAGCGTTTGAGTGAAAGAGACCTTATAAAATTATAAGTTATAATATGTTCTGGAAACATAATGGCATTKTGAATTAGAATGCTGAAGTAATTTTCTTTCATTAATAATTATTTGTTTGAATGTGGGGGTGGAGTGGTACTAGGTAGTCAGTATCATCTAATGTTGAAGTAGTTGTTCCCCAAGTTGTCCTTTATACATTTAGTTGTTTCTTTTATATTTTTAATGATTTTTTTTGCAGTTACTGTTTATTAAAACAGTTTTAGTAATTCATGATTTCGGAATCTGTTTCTCTCTTTGAGTACTCTATGCTTGTATGTCTGGTTAGATAAAGAACATTCCCATTTGGATGTCCTGTCAGCACAGTAAATATGAACTTAATATCATTTGCCTAAAATCAACTTTTACAAATTGACCTTCCTGTTTCTACTAAGAGCAGGAACCCGCTCTGAGCAMGGATAATACCTTTTGAAATGTTGAGTCTTAAAGTCATTAGTTACTCCATTTCCATTTTCTGTTGCTACCACAATCAACATGGTCTTCCAACTGATGATAATAATAGCTAATATTTACTAAAGCTSTTTATGTTCTAGGCACTGTATTAAGAAGCACTGATTAACTTATTTACTACCTATAGTCCTCTGAAAGGGTTCTTTTTACAGATGAGGAAATTGAGCGAGAGTAAGAAATTTACTACCAAGACATTTACCTCTTGTTTTTTTAATTTTAATTTTAATTTTTTTTAATTGATTTTATTATTTTTTAATACACAACAATAGTGGAATGCATTACAATCCTTATTACACATATAGAGCACAATTTTTCCTATCTCTGTATATAAAGTATGTTCACATCAATTTATGCCATTATTCAACAATAGTGGAATGCATTACAATCCTTATTACACATATAGAGCACAATTTTTCCTATCTCTGTATATAAAGTATGTTCACATCAATTTATGCCATTATTCATGTACTTTTTTTTGCATCACAATTCTTAATACACATGTATACCACAGTTTTTTCATATCTCTGCAAATAAGGTATGTTGACACCCAATTCAAGTTTTCATACATGTGCTTTGTATAATGATGACCATCATATTCCACCATCCATGCTAATCTCCTTCCCACTCCTTTTCCCTCCTACCTCTCTTCCCTATCTAGAATTATTCTAATCCTCCCATGCTCTCCCTCCCTACCCCACTGTGAGTCACCCCCCTTATATCAGAGAAAACATTCGGCATTTGTTTTTTTGGGATTTGCTGCCTTAGCATTATCTTCTTCAACACCATCCATTTACCTGCAAATGCCATGATTTTGTTCTTTTTTAATGCTGAGTAATAGTCCATTATGTATAAATGCCACATATTTTTTTGAGAGAAAGAGAGAGAGAGAGAGAATTTTTTAATATTTATTTTTTAGTTTTCAGTGGACACAACATCTTTATTTTATTTTTATGTGGTGCTGAGGATTGAACCCAGCGCCCCGCGTGTGCCAGGCGAGCATATTACTGCTTGAGCCACATCCTCAGCCCAATGCCACATTTTTTAATCCATTCATCCACTGAAGGACATCTCGGTTGGCTCCACGGTTTAGCTATTGTGAATTGTGCTGCTATAAACATTGACGTGGCTGTTTTTTCTAACACACTATATCTTACATGCTGTTGCCAGCTGAAGTATACATATATATTATAAAAATAGAATCTAAAATGACTACCAATTGCTGAATGAAAAAAAGAGCTAATAATAGTATTTTTTTTTTTTTTGGGTCCTTTCTTTTTGGACCATTAAATAAAACCCTTGGGGTTGGGGTTGTGGCTCAGTGGTAGAGTGCTTGCTTAGCATGGGTGAGGTACTGGGTTCGATTCTCAGCATCACATAAAAATGAAATAAAGATATTGTGTGTCCACCTTCAACTAAAAAATAAAGATTTAAAAATAAAATAAAACCCTTTACCTTTTCAGTTTTCGTCCTCATCTCCCTTCTATACATGTGCCATATTTTAGCAAAACCGAACTATGTACTTTTTCCTGAAATAGCTTGTGGTTTTTGGTCTCTGTTTTTTGCTCATACTCCTGGCCCTCTAAACCTAGAATGTATTTGTTTTTGTTTAATCCATTCTTCAATGTCCAGTTAAAAAATCATATTCTTCTCTCTTGCCCTTCCTGTAATACTTTGTGCTTTGCATGGTAACCCTCCTCCTATTATATAATAAATAATTTTTGTACTTTTCTTATCCATCCTAAATTGTATTCTCCTAAAGGAACTGTGTCTTATGCATCTTTTTCTTTTCTAACACAATACATTGTTTAAAGTAGGTTGTCAATATTTTTTTTAAGAAATAACAGTCAAGTAAGGGACTGAGTCCAAATTTTCCATTAGGCTACAAAAGCCCTAAAGGTTTTGGAATGTAATCACCTTTCAGATCATGTGTTAATAACATTCTAATGATTCTTTATTACTGGATTAACATATATCTGGCTATGTAAGATTCAGATTTCATTAACTCCTTTTATTTTCTCTTTCAAGATTTTTTATCAGGGCATCTCATGTTTGGAAAAAGACTGCTCCCTTAGTCTTGTTAAACTCAAAATTTTAATCAGAATTAAAAAATAAAACTTACTATAGCTTTGGGGAAAATATAGATTTTAAATATCTTCAGTTTAACTAATATTGATGGGAATGAAGAACGTAAGCTAAATTACAGGGGGAAAAGTCTCATTTAATATTTAGATTATGATTGTTTTGTAATTTGGACAGGTTAGAAGGTTTTTATCTGGTAATTGCTGTCATGAATTGTGTTGTTAGATAAGCACTAATAGCTCTTTGTGTATATACCTAACATCTCTATTTGGGTTTATAAAGGAAGCTGATGTTAATGTTAAAAGATGGCTATTTATTTATTTTTTGCTCAATTCTTTCTTAGAAAGATCCTGCTTATTTTTATGGATATGTATACTTTCGGCAAGTTCGAGATAAAACCCTTAAAAGAGGCTACTTTCAGAAGGTAATTTTCATATAGACTAATACAAATATTTTTATACTGTGATTAGTAAAGTAGAAATGATTATGCTTAATAATTTTCAATTTTTGGTATTTTATCTTTAAACATACTGGACTTTTTAGATTATATTTTTAGATTATACTTTTTAGATTATAGATACCTGTACCTAGATTTTGAACAGCTGTTGAATTTTTGCTATCTCTGTGCTAGGCTCCTGATAATGTTTGTTAATATGGAGGAGTCTGCTTGATTTTGATATTTTAGAATAAGAGAAAGAATAAACAGATTATAATATTGTTACAACTAATAAAAGCTTGTGTATCTTTTTTTTTAAGAGCCAATAAGTAAATTTTAGCAACTTCTTAGCTACTGTTGTTTCTTGTAAACTTAATATTTTTCTTAAAAAAAGAAAAAATCAATTCAATTTTATTTAATCCCAGCTAGCAGGACACACCTTTTCCATTTGTAACCAAAATTTGCCCTGACCACCATTGGATGCTGTATAGAAAGCTAGAGTGTTTTTCTAGGAAAACTTCATTAAAAAAAAAAAATCAGCATAATCCAAATCTGAAGTGATCCAAGTAGAGGGTCACAATTTCTAATTAGATAGCTATGACAATTGAACTATAGAACACAACAGTCATAGGTCTCTGGGGAAAGCATCACAGTTTGTTCTTTCCTTAATAGGATGATTTCATGTGGCTAGTTCCTAATGTCCCTGTGCTATGGACAATAGTAGCTAGGCTTTGGAAATTATCCATGACCTTAATCTGTTTATTATAAATTGTTCTTAAAGTACAGGAACATCTGAGTTATTTCTTCATGCTTTTCAAGTGTGATAATAAGCTTAAACTTTATGCATTCTAAGGCTATATTTTTGTATTTCCTTTAAACTATCTGCTATAAAGCCTTTTTATTTCAAAATGCATACTTTTTGATGAATTTAATTTGTTAGTAATTGTTCTTGTGAGAYATGAATGGCAAATTTAAATTATAATCATTAGACATTTAAAAGAAACATTGTTTCTTTTTCCCCTCCAGTCTTTGGTTTTGATCAGCAAACTACCTTATATTCATTTTTTTCACACCGTGCTCAAACAGATAGCACCGGAGTATTTTGAAAAAAATGAACCTTATTTGGAAGCAGGTAAGCTAATCATTGCAAGAGTTATGTACCTTTATGAAGGAATCTAAAAGACCACTGAAAATATATGATAGAAATGAAGTTGACCTTCTGAAAAAATCAGAAGAATTTAAGGGTTATATGGTGAGAGAGAGAAACAAAATTATTTGGCACTTTTTCCCCCACAAACATCAAAAATGGTATCTGTTGTTATTTCCTCTAACAACATAGACAATGTCTATTTATTAGGATAATAATAAATGAATTTTGAGTTGACAGTTCTTATTATCATTGAACAGAATCCTTAGTAACTTGATACAGTTGGAGTGTGGTGTGTATTTGTAGCCAACTTTAATAGTAATAAGTGAACAGGAGTCAGGTGTGGTGGCAAACATCTGTAATCCTAGCAGCTCTAGAGACTGAAGCAGAATTGCCAGTTTGGGCCCAGCTTCAGTAATTTAGCTAGATCCTGTCTAAAAAAATGGGGAAGGGGGCCTGGGATATAGCTCAGTGGTAAAGCAATCCCAAATACCATAAAAAATAAATGAACAGGAGAACTTCCTTTAAATTAATTTGTTGCTTTCAAAAAATTATYAACCAGGCCCAGTGGTGCCTGTAATCCCAGCAACTCAGGAGGCTGAGGCAGGAGGATTACAAATTCAAGGCCAGCCTCAACAATTTAGTGAGGTCCTAAGCAATTTAATGAGACCCTGTCTCAGAATAAAAAATAAAAAGGGATGGGGATATAACTCAGTGGTAAAGTGCCCCTGTTTCAACTCCTAATGCTAAACAACAACAACAGTAACAACAACAACAACAACAATAAAAGCTATCTATCTATATCTGTATTGTATATCTATATACATACATACATACATACATATACACACATATATATAAATAATCAGTTTATATCCTGGAACATGTTTCTAAGTGAAATGTTAAGATATTTTCATCACTTGTACTTTATTTCTCTTCCATTCTTCCCAGTATATTTTTCCTGCTTTATAGAAAGTAGAGTTCTAATTTTTAACACCCCATTTTAATATTTCTACTTAACATCAAGAAAACATTTTGTTTGAAAATATTTTCCAGCTTGTAATGATGTTGATCGATGGCCTGCTCCAGTGCCGGGGAAAACGTTACATCTGCCCATTATGGGGGTAGTGATGAAGGTAATAGCTTTTAGCTCACTTGTCTCCTTTTTAAAGAACTTGGTAGGAAGTTAACACATGGGTTTTACTTACTAACTTCCTCATAATATTTTGTAGTGTCATTGTTTTCACTTGTTTGTTGTGAGGCATTACAAAGAACCTACTTGATAGAATCATTAGTCACACAACTCTGCAGCTCCAGTCCCATTACATCCTGTGGAGTTTTCAYAGGAGTATCATTCCTGTGTAATATATGTAAACATAAATGTTGCTTCCTAGAAGTTTACAACTCCATGTTTCTACTAATGCCTCCAGTGGTAAGCAGAAACAGTTCACTTTTTTAATTGAATATTTAAGAGAAATTTGGAAACCTATTAGTTCTCAGTCCTAAATGATCTTCTTAACATGTAGTGTTGACCAAATATGTCTATCCCTAAGTATTCTCTGTTAAGATGATTTTTAAAAAAAAATTAATTACATTTTACTCTCAGGCTTTGCAACTCACTATCAAGTTGGACTTACTTTTGACAATGTTCTCTTTTTACATGTGCTTATTTTTTTTAATGTGTATTCTTTTTTTCCATGGGAAATCATGAAAAATAATACTGATAGTTTCCTGTGGGATTTACTCAAAAATTTGGCAAGATTAAGAGGGTGTGTTTGGGTGGGTGTATATTAATGAACCAAAGATTGGTATGATAAACAGGAAACAGTATGAGATTGATGTCCTTTTTCTGTTTTTCAACAGTTGTGCTTCTCAGTGGGTTAGTGATTTCTCTTTGCATGCGGTTATAGAGTCCTTGGTTCAATTACTTTCTACTGTGGCTGAAATTAATATGACCTTAGTTTTAAAATCTGATATGAATACTTAATATTTATAGCTTTTTAGACATTGCCAAATATACCTTTAAGGGTGCTTCTTATTCTTGTTTTTCATAGCCAAAGATAATTTCTTTCTCTTTAAGGTACGGATTCCCACATGTTATGACAAGCCTGGGACAACTCAAATAGTACAGTTAACTCAGCAGGTAGTGTGCTACTATGGTGAAATGATCACAGAAGTTTTAAATGAGCAAATGCAGTTTGTTCATTATATATTTTTGAATGTCACTAAAATATTCCATTGAATTTTTTTTTTTTTTTTTATATTGGGGATTGAACCCAGGGGCACTTGACCACTTAGCCATATCCCCAGCCCTATTTTTAAAATTTTATTTAGAGACAGGGTCTCACTGAGTTGCCTAGTGCCTCGCTTTTGCTGAGGCTGGTTTTGAACTCACGATCCTCCTAYCTCAGCCTCCTCATGCCCAGTATATTGAATAATTTTTAACTTAATTCATAATCAACTTTCTAATATTTCTTGGCCTTTTTTTTCCCCCCTTGGTTTTTCTCCAGGAGACACTGAAGAACCCAGAACTTTAATTGTGAGGACAAGGGGAATGTGAATTTTTTTTTTCCCCCAAAAGGCTTAATTCTGGCAAAAGCAGTTATTTTAGAAGAGTGGTCAGTAGATATCTGATTTTAAAAGACTCAGTCAAAGGGATTCTGTGGTGCCAGGCACAGTGGTATTTGCCTGTAATCCCAGTGAATCAGAAGACTGAGGCAGGAGTTTGGCAAGTCAAGGCCACCCTCAGCAACTTAGGGAGACTGTATCTCAAAATAAAAACTTTTAAAAAGGCGTGCTCCTGKGTTTAATCCTCAGTAGTGCACACACACACATACATACACATAGACAAAAGATTCCCTAGTTATGATTCCACTCCAGTTTTCCAAAAGCAACATCTGTTCATGGGTGGGGTTGAATTTTTCATTTGAAATGTTTTAACTGGTGTGTTAGCTAGCATTCCCTTTGTTCTTTGAATTGAGAGCAGTAAAAAAGCTAATATTTTTCTGTTACATATGTCAACTAATATTAATGATAGTATTTCATACATTTGTGAACTAATCTTACATCTGATTATTGAACTAATTCTTTATTCATAGTATCTGTGTTTTCTGTCTTCTGCCATACTATGGGAAATTGGTAAGACCCATTTTCTCTCTGGTTGCTTCTAGCAGAATAGAATTTTCAAAAGGTAGACAGGGAATCCTGGCTTATTGATCATGAGATAAGCATACTTTAAAAATCAATTTCTGCATATTTTAGTGACATCTTCTCTTTTGTTTTTGTCTTTTGCCTCTTAGGTAGACTCACACATATCTGTTATTTTACCTACTGTTCATGAAGTGGATCTTTTCAGGTAAAAAAAAAAAACTTTTTAAAAATGTCTTTTTTCTCTTGCTTTGTGATATTGTTTSTTGAGAAAAAAAATGTTCTTATGTAGGATATGTAAAAAACCAGAAGAAAACACTCATAATGTTTTATACGATAAAAATCCGTGTTTGCCGGTTTAAAAAAAGAAAACAAAATTAGTGTTCTTTGGTTGTGGTAGCACATATCTGTAATTCCAGTGACTTGGTAGGCTGAGGCAGGAGGATGACAAGTTTGAGGCCAGTGTCAACAACTTATAAAGGCCATAAGCAACTTAGTGAGACCCTGTCTCAAAATAAAAACGGAAGAACTCAGTGGTAAAGTACCTCAGGTTCAATCCCCAGTACCTAAATAAATAAATAAAATCAATTAATGGTTAATGGTTCATCCCTGGCTGCCTGCATCTTTATAAGCTTTGACAGAGAAATTTGGATACGGGCAGGCTATTACATGGTAAAAGCAAATTGTTTTTTTTTTTTTTTTTTTTTTGGTGGGGTTTGGTATGAATGGTTTTGGAATGATGTTAGAAAATACACTTTTTTTAGAGATGCATTTTGAAGAATTTTGGGGTGAAATGTCATGATGTTTGTGCTTTATTTTAAAATGCTTTAGTAAGAAAAAATAAATGATGTAAAAACAGCAAATACTAATTGTTAAATATACGTGTTATGTATGTGGGGATTTTACATTTTTGTCTTCATTTTTGTATGTTTGGAAATTTCAAAATGCAAAGTTTAAAAAACAGAGATACTGATGGTGCATGCCTGTAATCCCTGCGTCTTGGGTGGCTGAGTCAAGAGGATTGGGAGTTCAAAGCCAGCCTCAGCAAAGAGGTGCGCTTAGTAATTCAGTGAGACCCTGTCTCTAAATAAAATGCAAAATAGGGCTAGGGATGTGGCTCAGTAGTTGAGTGCCCTTGAGTTCAATCCCCCACACCAAAAAAATAAAATAAAATAAAATAAAAACAAAGCAAAACAACAAAAATAGATACTCTGGCATTTAAGAAGGAAGAAAAATTCATAGCGAGGTTGGGAGAGGGAGTGTGGGAGGATTAGAAGAACTCTAGATAAGGCATAGGGGTGGAAGGGGAAGGGAGGAGGCATGGGGGTCAAAAAGAGGGTGGAATAAGATGGACATCATTACCCTAAGTACATGTATGAAGACACGAATGGTGTGAATATACTTTGTATATGACGAGAAAAAAAATTTTTTTAATGAATAAATAAAAATAAAATTATAACAAAAATAGACTCATTACCTCCACACTCATGAGTTTACGTCATTAGGAGCAAACTGAAAGAGTACCCAATGACAAAAATAAAGTATGATTAAACTAAAACCYGTGTACAAGATAAATATACATTAATTTCTAATGATATAGTATATTATTAAATAAGTGTTCCTTGCAATCATTTAGATTAATAATGTATGTTCTCTATTCTCAAGGAGTAAATCTCTACTCATTCTGTATATAGAGACTTCCTCACAAAATTTTCGATGTGGAAATGGAGGAAAAGAGAAAATAATCTTACTGTACTCTCTTCATATGATGTGATAACATTGGCATATTATCTCTTTGATTTTTTTCCTAAAATCTATACTTCAGTCTAACAATAAGAGAAACATCAGACAAATACCAACTGGGAAGCATTCCGTAATTTACCTAATATGCACCCCTTAAAACTCTCATGATCAAAACCAAGGAAAATCTAAACTGCCATAACCAAAAGAAGCCTWTGGGGGCATAAAAACTGGAGTATAAATGGATATCAGATTAAAACCTAAGGAAATCTGAATAAAGTATATATTTCTGTTATTATTAATGATTTGGTATTGGCTTGTGTATTTTATTATTTATTGGCAATAAATAATAAAATACACTAGTATATTTTAAATAATAAAACACATATAATAATAATAAATAAATAAAACACACTATTATAATAATATAATATAATAATAAAATAATAATAAAATATACTATATTAATAAAATATACTAGTGTATTAATAAAATATACTAGTGTATTAACACTAATATACTAATATACTAGTGTATTAACTAGTGTATATACTAGTGTATTAACACTAATATACTAGTGTGTTAACATGAGAAATTGTATGTGAATTCTGTGTACTATTTTCTCAGTTTTTCTGTAAATCTAAACAGTTCTGGATATTAGACCCTAAATAATAAAATGTAGTCACAAATTAGCATGATATGAAAAAAAAAAGAAGGAAGGAAAAAGAAAAAATACTAGTGTTTGTGCCTTTACCCAGAGCATCCAAATAAAGAGTCTTTAGATTGGTACCCAGTTSTAGCTCTGCACGAAGTTCTGATGTATAGCCCAGCTTGAGAAACCACTACTATCAATGAGCGATTACTATATGTCAAAAAAGTTGTGAAAGACATAGGGTAGGGTTTTTTGTTTTTGAGGAGGAATTCCCCTCCCCCCCTCTATATTTTTTGGATGACTTTAAACTTTATAGAATACTGCCTCAAAGGTTGAGTTGTTGCTGGATGTGGTGGTACATGCCTGTAATCCCAGCAGCTCAGGAGGCTGAGGCAGGAGGATCACAAATTGGAGGTTAGCCTGGGCAATTTAGTGACACTCTGTCTCAAAATAAAAATAAAAAAAAAGGAATGCACTGCAGGTGTAATTCAGCAGTAGAGTGCACCCCTAGATTTTTTTTAATATTTATTTTTTAGTTGTAGTTGAGCACAATACCTTTATTTATTTATTTTTATGTGGTGCTGAGAATCGAACCCAGGGCCTTGCATGAGCTAGGCAAGCGCCCTACCACTGAGCCACAACCTCAGCCCCCAGCACCCCTGGATTTAAAATTTTTTTTTTTTTAGTTGTACATGGACACAATACTTTTATTTATTTATCTTTATGTGATGCTGAGGATCAAACCCAGTGCCTCACACATGTTAAGCAAGCACTCTACCACTAAATTACACCGCAGCCCCAGCAACTTTGGGTTTAATCCCCAGTACCACCAAAAAAAAAAAAAGAAAAAGTTAAGTTTATTTATTTTATATGCTTGATTTATTTTGTATGCTTACTTATATTTCTAGGTATTTGTCCAATAAAAATGAAAACATATGTCCACACAATGAATTGTATGTACTAGGTGTGATAGCATACACCTATAATACAAGCTAAGGCAGTCGGATTGCAAATTTAAGGTCAGTCTGGACAATTAAGTGACCCTGACTCAAAGTAAAAAATAAAAAGTGTTGGTGATATAGCTCAGTGATAGAGTGCCCCTAGTGTTCAATTCCTAAGTGAGCACTCTRCCGCTGAGCCACAACCCCAGCCCCCAGGACTGAGTTTGAGAGCAAAGAACAGACACCTAATCTGGAAAGGCTTATGAGGTTGATTGGCAGAAATGCAGTTGAATTTAGGGGCYTGTGTGCCTCCTTTCATTTGTCCAAGACTTGTTAGGCTACTGTTTATCCCAAGGACCATGTGTTTGGTTTCATCTCTCTCTATTGACCACAGAAACAGTCCTTTCATTAAGTTTTTAAGTTGAGATTGGAATTGAAGAGCAGTTTTCTAAAATAGTTGAAAGAAACTGTCATTCTCTTGGCTTAGAATCTCTTAGAGTTAGGGTCAGGGGTATTTACATGACGATACTTGACTGTTGGTTCCTAGGCATAGTTTTATGGATTTTCCCTCTCATATCCCCTTGTATGTTAAGAATGAAGAGATTTTGGTTTTCTACCCATTTGYAGAGTAGACAATAGGTATGGGATATCATTGCTTTTAGACCTTTTTAGTGGGTAAAACTAGGGTGTGTCTGGAGGAGAGGGAATATATGCACATATAGACACATAATCTGTACCCATATATATTGATAACCATTAAGTCATATTGATACCCTTAGTTACAACACAATATGACAGTGTTTGCTCTAGTTTTTTTCCCTTCTCATGTTTGTATTTATCTCTGATAGAATAGCCCTCTATTATTTTTAACATCAAAAGATTGAGCCAGGTGCAGTGGCAAACACTTGTAATCCCAGCGACTTGGGAGACTTGAGACAGAAAGATCACAAATTTGAGGTCAGCTTCAGCAACTTAGCGAGACTTGTGTCAAATAAAAAGTAGAAAGTACTGGGGCTGTAATTCAGTGATGACACACCCCTGGGCTCAATCTCTAGTACAAGAAAAGTAAAAAAAAAAAAAAAATGTACACACATACACACACACACACACACACACACATGTACTGGCTTTTTTATTGATCTGAAGATAATGAATTATCTCACTGTCTTCAGATACAAATGAAACTTCTTATTGTATCACAGTTACAAATGAAACTTCTTATTCTGCTCTTCCCCCTTCCTGCTATTGCATTGGATCATAAATAGTAAATGAAAAAAGCATTGGCTTTTGTCTTTTTCATATTTTTGTGGTGATGGGGATTGACTCAGGGCCTCAGGCATGTTAATAAGCACATGCTGTACCACTGAGACCAGCACTGGTTTGTAAATTAAGTACATCCAATAAATGCCCCCCTTAGAAAATTAGTTTTCAAAATTTCCTTCAAAGTATTTAGAACAGAAATTTAAATTATTGATATTAATAAAATAGAATTATCATATGGTAAAACAGTTTAATTATATGCTTTTGTTGTTTGTCAGCTATTTCATTTTTCAATAATGTATTGCATTTAATCTTATAAAAATTGGCATGTGTCAAATTGATATATACTTTTGTGTGTATAAAAGAAACTTAGAAGCTAGTATGTGGTGTATGCATGTAGTCCCAGCTGCTTGGTAGGCTAATGCAGAATGATTATAAGTTTGAGGCCAGTGAAACCCTGTCTCTTTTAAGAAAAGTAAGGGAGTTAAAATAGAAGCTCAATGGTATAGTGTATGCTCAAGGCCCTAGGTTTAATTCCAGCACTGATAWATAAATAAATAAAGCTTTTGATTATACATTGCCATGTTCTAAATTAGTATATTAGATCAAGATACAAATACCAGAAAGAATTTAGATCAATGTGAAGTTTTTAGAATGATTATACAGGGATTTAAAAAGCAGGATTGGATAAATAACAAAATATTTCTTCTGTGTAAATACCTTCCAGGTGTTTCTGCCCAGTTTTCCTTCATAGTCAGATGCTTTGGGAGCTGGTGCTTTTGGGAGAGCCCATTGTGGTCATGGCACCATCACCATCAGAGTCATCAGAGACTGTGCTGGCTCTTGTTAAGTGAGTATATTTGCTTCCTGATAGTGATATTTTCAGCACTTTCCCATCTGTGGTATGTTTCCCAATACATCATTACTTAACATCCACACAGCAATAATGTCAGAAGGTAGTTTTTATTGTAGCACCATTTTATGGATGAGAATACTCATTCAAGTTCCATGAGGGCTAGAACTGTGTCTTTGTTGTTATGAGCAACAAGCGCATTCATTCACATACCTGAAGTTAGCCCTTGAAAACTGTTAGTGTGCAAATGGTAAGGGTTTAATCAAAGGCACATAGCTGGTGAAAGGGAAAGCCAGAATTTCACCCTGTTTGCTGCATTGAACCCAGTGTTCTTTCATTATGCCATTCCATGTTGCATATTTCCATTTGTCTTTTTAGTTCCTTGAAATGAGTTTATTAGTTTTATCAAAATAAATAAGTTATCCCAGTGGGTATGTACTGTTTATACAGATGCTTCATAGTTATGGCATAGGACCTTTAATTTTTGTCCTTTGTTTTACATGGTTTTCTTGTTCCACAGCTGTATTTCTCCACTAAAGTATTTCAGTGATTTCCGACCTTATTTTACTATCCATGACAGTGAATTCAAAGAATATACTACCCGTACTCAAGCTCCGTGAGTAAACAGAATAACTTTTATTCATCATGTATTAACTTTATAACCAAAATTATGTAGAATTATTTTTGGTAATAAATTTTTAATTTAAATTTTTAATTATAGGCAGATTGATTTTATAAAGGAAGGTTAGAGGAGCTGCTGGTAATAATTTTATATTTCAAGTGTTACTAACTTATTTTATTTGGGCAATTTTATTTATTAATGGAATCTGTGTTGTCATTAGACTGTACTTTTGTTTCTGCTGTCATTATGAAAAATCTTTTCCAATCTGTATCAAGGAAAAAATAATTTTTCCTTTTTCTTTTAGTTCCTGTTCTATTGCTTATTTTCTTTTCATAGCTAAATTTCTAGAATAACAAAAATCTCCATTTGATGTCTACACTTCTTGATTTTCTGGTTGCTTCTCAGTGAATTGCAGATCAACTTCTCTGCATCCACTGAATTTGTTCTTGCCTTATTCACCAAGATATTTCTTACTGCCTGATCCAGAGGGTGCATTATTGCCCTATTTGCCCCACCTTTTCTTTCTTGAAATTATTTTAATCCTTGATCCCACTCTGTTCTGGCTGTCTGGTGGTACATTTCAGTCTGCTTTACAGACTTTTTCTCTATTAACCTTTTAAGTATTGATGTTCTYCACTGTTGTGTTCTGGTCCTGATTTCAGTCTGATAATTTTTTCTGTATAGTCTTGCTGGTACCCATGACCTCTGAAAAAACCCTATATGAGGGACTGGGAATGTAGCTCATTGGTGGAGTGCTTGCCTAGTGTGCTCAAGGCTCTGGATTCAAACTCCAGTAATGGAAAAAGAAAATAGAAAGAAAGCTAAAAGATCCTGTACCACCAGTCATGGTAGTACATACCTATAATCCCAGCAACTCAGAGAAGGAGGATTGCAAGTTCAAAGCCAGCCTAAGCAGTTTAGTGAGGTCCTGAGCCAGGATCCCATCTCAAAAAATAAAGAGGGCTGGGGATGTGGCTCAGTGGTCATGTGCCCCTCCAGTTCAATCTCAGTACTAAAAGCAAAAAAACAAAACCCTATATTAATGACTGAAACATATCTTCCTGTCCCAGATCTCTCTCTGAGGTTCAGACCTATGTATCTAGGTTGTGTTGTTGTTTAAGCACATTGCCACCTGCATGTCTTAATGGCATTTAGTTATCAGAATCTGAAATTGTCATAAATTTCTCTTCCTTAACATGCCCTCTGTYAAATTTTAACCAAATTCTATTAATCAGCATTCTGTTTTATTTTTTCCTAACTGTTGCTTTCCCCCTATTACCCTCCCTTCTTTGTAGGGCATCTCTTTTTCATTCATGTGACTTGTCTCYACTTGGTTCCCTAAAAGCTTGTCTACATATAAGATAACATCTAAATTTCTTAGATATAAATTTGGTACTCATCCATCTACTCTCATTTTTGTCTACTCATCCTTCTCACTTTGTGTTCCAAAAATGCTGAACTGTGTGTAGATCTATGAATAGACTACCATCTCACCTCATCACGTGGCACATACTGTTTGTTCTCCTGCATTACCTTTAACTTCCTTTATTCACTTGACAGAAAACTATTCATCTTTCATGTCTTTGTGTAAATGTCATCTCTTTGGTGAGGCTGTCCTTTAATATCTTGGCAGACCATAGGTTCTTCTTTGTGATTATTGTGCATTTTATTCTACCTTCAGTGTCATGATTTTGGGCATGATATTTAGGTATGTATTCTTTCTGTGTGCTTTTAATCTTTATTTGAARTACTAAATATGTTGCCTGGCATGTAGTTGATATTAATAAATTAAGTAAAGGAAAAGATATCTATATATTGTTCACTCAAAGGAAATTATAAATTATTCTTCATTGGTTTAACATTCATATTTTTCTTACCTTTTWAAATTTTGTTTTATTTTATTTTTATATAGGCCCTCAGTCATATTAGGAGTAACCAACCCTTTTTTTGCTAAAACACTCCAGCATTGGCCACACATTATTCGAATAGGAGACCTTAAGCCTGCAGGTAAAGTATAAACTTGGTATTCTATTCTTAGTGTGTAATGTGGCTGAGCACGTTTATTTCTTCCCTTTTGTTTTCATTCCTTGGTTACTTTTTACATTGTTGGAGCTTTCTTTAAGRCATCCTAAATTAAAGCCTTTAGGGAAGAATGTAAGTTCCCAGTAAAATATGTGGATTCTTTTTTTTGGGGAAAATTTTTTTAAATTAAAATTATTAATGCTTATTAATTATACAAATTAATCGGTTTCACTGTGACATTCCCATACATGTGTATGTCATGYTTTGATCATGTTCACCTTCCCATCTATTTTCTCTTTTCTAATTCTCTCTCCATCCTCTCCACAGCCATTTTTCCCTTCTTTAGTAGTCATTCTTCTACTTTTGGGTTATCTTTTTTTTTTCCTTTTCTATTGGACATATGAGAGTAAATGTGCAATAATTGTCTTTCTGTGTCTGACTTGTTTCACTTAATGTGATGTATTCCAGTTCCAGTCATCTTCCTGAAAATGACATGGTTTCATTCATTGTGGTTGAATAATTTGTTCATTGTGTATATATGCCTTATTTTCTTTATTCTTTCATCTGTTGATGGGCGACTAGACTGATTGTGTATCCCAGCTATTGTGAATATGGCTGCAATAAATATGAGTATGCAGATACCTCTTTTGAAGGTTGACCTCATTGCTTTTGGATAAGTATCCAAGAGTGATAATGGCTGCATCATATGGTAATTCTATTTTTAGATTTTTTTTTTATTTTTGAGGAAACTCCATACTGTTTTCCATAGTGACTGTACTAATTTACCTTCACACATTGTCTTATTTCTCCATATCCTCATCAGCATTTATTATCATCATTATTATTATTATTATTGTTGTCATTATTATTATTATTATTATTATTATTGGTTGTAGCCATTCTGATTGGGGTTAGATGGATTCTGAGTGTAATTTTGATTTGCATTTCCTTGATGTTTAAAGATGTTGAAAATTTTTCATTTATATGAAATATATGTATATATTTTCATATACATATGCCATTTGTACTTCTTTTGAGAAATTGCTAAGAACTTTTGCTCTTTTTGATTGGATTACTTGTGATTTTATTGTTGAGACTGTTTAAGTTCTTATGTATTCTAGATATTAATCCTCTGTGAGGTACACAGCTGGAAAAAAATTTCTCCCATTCTGTAAATTGTTTCTTTACTTTGTTGATTGTTTCCTTGTTGTGCACAAGCTTTTTAATTTAATCTAATTCCATTTGTCAATCCTTGCTTTTATTTCCTGAACTACTGAAGTTCTATTCAGGAAATCATTGCCTGTGCCTATCTTAAAAGTATTTCCCTGTACTAGTTTCCAAGTTATAGATCTTTGATCCATCTTGAGTTGATTTTTTTAAACTCAGGGGGTGAAAAATAGGGATGAAGTTTCAGTCCTCTACATGTGGTAGTTTTCCCTGCACCATTTATTGAAGAGGCTGTCTTTTTTCAAGTGTATGCTTTTAGTACCCTTGTTAAGAATCAGTTAGCCGTAGATTTATGGGTTTATTTCTTGGTCTGTGTATATTTTTATGCCAATACCATGCTGTTTTTGTTACTGGGGATATGTAGTATATTTTGAAATTGGGTATTATGATGCTTCCAGTATTGCTCTTTTTGCTTAGGA